GCGTTTGGCATTGAGTCATGCCAGCCACATGACCACAGAGATGTCTTTGGACAGCGCTGGCTCTTCGGCTTTGAAATGGAGATGAGCACCGCCCCCTAGAGTCGGGAACGACTAGCACAGATGTGCGAGGGGAATCTTTCACCTTACTACAATTTGAACGTTTCATCTTACTTATATATATGCCACGTTTTCCCGAAAGTAAGACTGGATCGTATGTTAATTTTTGCTCCAAAAGACACACTAGGTCTTATTTTCAGAGAAATACGGTACTAAATGCGTCTCTCTGGCTGACGATCTTAACTGGGGCTTATTTTGGGGGGAGGTAAGGCTTTTCTCTTCCTGAAAAGCCATGCTTAGGGCAGTGGGGGCAAACCTTTTCAGCACCCAGTGCTCAAACCGGAATGTGTGGGTGCACCAGCTAACCTGTGCGCACCTGCCTGGTTTTGGGCCATTTTTGGGGTCATTTTTCAGACTGTTTTTGGCCTGGAAAACAGTCCAGAAACAGCCTGAAAAGGGCCCAGCAAAAAAATGTGGGTTTGGGCCATTTTTTCAGGCTATTTTCAGGCCATTTTGAGGCCCTTTTCAGAGCCACAATGTTCAAAAAACAGTCCCAGAACTGCCAGAAAAATTGTCCCCCCCAAAAGAGCCTGAAAACAGCATGTTTTGGGGGTAGGTTTTTGGGCTGTTTTCATTTTCTGGTGCTCTGGCACTTGCCAAGACCAGTTGCCAGCGGTGCCCATGCCCACCGAGAGGGCTCCATGTGCCACCTCTGGCATACGCCGCATAGGTTCCCCCTCCCTTTGCTAGGGGTTATTTTCCAATGGGGTCTTATTTTGGGGGGAGAGAAGACGCTCTCCTCCGAGGTCTCATTGTGGCTGCTTTTTTTACAGCAGCTTTGTTGAAAATGGGTCTTTATTCCTAGTTTTCAGCCAAGCCAGCCCCTGGAGAACCCTTGGTTCACTTAATGACCACAGCATTTGCTTAATGGCCACTGCAAAAAAGGTCATAAAAAATTAGGTTGGGTCACCCACGAGTCCTGATTTATAACTGTCGCGATTTACGCCCGCGAGGGGCCGGTTCCATGACGATCGTAAGTCGGCGTGGCTTTTCCTTCTGGCTTACGGTCTCGAGTCCAAGTCAGTTTCTCGCTCTTTGCTGAATTTCTCCTGATTTTTCCCCTCTGCTCTTCCAGGTCACTGTCCTTTTTGCTGGTCAAAATATTGACCGGAGCCCCTTTGAAGTCAACGTGGGCATGGCGCTCGGGGACGCCAGCAAGGTGTCAGCCCGTGGACCGGGCCTGGAGCCCGTGGGAAATGTGGCCAACAAACCCACTTACTTCGACATCTACACCGCAGGTAAGGAAGGGGGGGTTAAATCGGGTAGGGCAAACAGGAAGTGGGCACATTGCTTTGCCTAATACTCCTCGACTTACAACAATTGACTTAGCGATCGTTTGAAGCCACTCGTGACCAGTCCTCAAACTTACGACCGTTACAACATCCCTACGGTCACGGGATCAAAATTCCAGGCGCTTTGGTCATTGGCCTGTATTTATGAGGGTTGTAGTATCCGGGAGTCACGCGATCGCCTTTCTAGGCGGCTTCTAAAAAGAAAAGTCAGTAAGGGAAGCTGGACTCACTTAACGACCAGCGGATTCTTGTAACTGCTGTAGCGATTTGCTTAACCACTTCAACAAAAAATGGTCGCAAAATCAGGCGCGGCTTACTTAACTTGCTTAGCAATGGAAATTTTGGTCTTGCTCGTGGTCGTAAGTCGAGGATTATCTGTCTATATTTGGGGGGAGGGGTGTCAGAAGAAATCTCATAAGCAATTCAGGCAGCTAACGGGCGGTGCAGTGGCCTAGAGGTGAAGCTCCTGCCTCGCAATCAGGAGGCTGTGAGTTTGATCCTAGGTAGCAGCAGTTATTTCTCTCTCTGGACACAATGAGTGTATATCGGCTGAACAAAACACCCCCCAGGCAACAGGAAGGGCATCGGGCCAGTAAACAGCTCCATTCAGTTGCCCTGACTCTACCCCGATGCAAGGGATTTCGAGGTCATTAAAAGACAAAAAAAGTTTCAGGTAGCTAACGGGGTGTGTGTGTGTCTTCCATCTGTAGGGGCAGGGGCCGGTGACGTGGGGGTAGTGATCGTGGACCCCCAGGGACGGCGGGACACGGTGGAAGTGGTCTTGGAAGACAAAGGCGACAATATTTTCCGCTGCACTTATCGGCCCGTCCTGGAGGGTCCTCACACCATCTATGTGACCTTTGCGGGGGCTCAGATCCCCAAAAGCCCCTTCACAGTCAACGTGGCAGAAGGTAAGTCAGCCCCGCCTCCCCTCCCCAGCTCTTCTGGGGTCCCCTCCCCACCGTCTCCTTTCTCTTCCCACTGACTCCCCCGCCGTGCTTGTTTGCCATCTCTAATGACCTCCTGACCACTAAACCGGCAGCCCCCCACCCCACCCCTTTATCCCGTGGAGACCACCGGCCAAGCAAGACTAGAGGTGGCTGTTGGAAGATCTCCAGGTCTTCTGGGTGGAGGCCCAGGTCCAAACGACACAGGGGACCAAAGTGATCTGGTCGATAACCTCTCCGCCAAATCTACCTCGCAGGGTTGTTGTTGGAAGGAGACCGTCTGCTCCCCTTGGGGAGAAGGTGAAACACGAGTGGAGATGGCGGCTGCCACAAACTCGCACCGTTATTGTAACACCGCGGTCCCCAACATTTCCGGGTTTGAAAACGGAAAACCTTCTGGGGAGGGGTGAAATCCAGCAGGTTCTGACTGGTTCTGGAGAACCGGTAGCGGAAATTTTGAGTTGTTTGGAGAATCGGCAAATACCACCTGTGGCTGGCCTCGCCCCCATCTATTCTCTGCCTCCCGAGTCCCAGCTGATCGGGAGGGAATGGGGATTTTGCAGTGTCCTTCCCCTGCCACGCCCATCAAACCACGCCACACCCACCAAGCCACGCCAACAGAACCGGTAGTTAAAAAAAATTGAATTTCAGCGCTGGTTCCAGGAGAGGAGATCGTTCCACATGAAGGGCACACGAGTGTCTGCGCACGCAGCTCCATCTGTGCAAATGCAGCTTTGCACGTGTGCACAGAGGCCCNAGCCGAGGCGGCTTTTTTCAGCCCAAAAAGTGGGCTGAAAAACTAGGCTTATACTTGAGTATATACAGTAATCTGTGAGTCCCTTCATATGACCACAAGGAACAGCCATCAAAAATTCTCACCTGCAACACTATGCAAGTTGGCTGATAGAATTCCACCACTTGATTAATGACCGGCTGGAAGAGGTGCTTATAACCTTCCAAACAAAAAGACAAAGGAACCACTGCTATGATTTCCCTGCTGAAATATGCACTGAAGATGGATACTACCACAAGGCCCAGTGGAAGACTCACTTTGGTCATCAATGCCATCCCGCAAAGGTACATTTAGACAGTAATAGCGGCCACTCTCAGCTCCAACTTCATACATGTCACCTACATGTCAGTGTAGAATTTAAATAGGAGTACATATTAGAAAACATCATTTTCCAGAAATGTGACACAGAATTTCATTTTTTTTTCACACACTTACTAGCTGGCTAATAGAAGTCTGATTCTTAAAGCTGCCAAAGAATAGTAAAAGATTTTGTACCTGTACCAGGGAAAAAGTAATTCCCGTATTTGTGAAAAGATACTGTCATGACACGGTCTGTCAAGTAAAAAGCTTCCTGGACACCATCTCCATGATGGATGTCTATATCAATGTAAAGCACACGTGGGTGGTACCTGTCAGAGAAAAAAACCTTTTCTGTGGGAAAAACCGTATCTCCTAACATCGGTAAAACTTAAAGTCTCATGTATGAAAAATCTGTACTTATCACTAGTGTCACAGCAGCATCTCCTCAGAGCTACTGCAATTCTGACAACGCTGATCTAAATTGCCAGCACTTTAAAAATCATACTAAAGAAAGAAAAATCAGTCCAGGATCACATTCCGATAAATTGCAGACAAAGGTGCTCATTTTCTATTTCAAGATTTTTTTCAATCATGCATCACCTTTATTTTCTCTGTGGTTGTAATACCCTCTTGTCTTTGTCATTCTCCTCTCACAATTGATGAAGAACTTATTAAGTCTGGAGTTATGGTGTATAGAGAATTTTTGAAGTTATCCCCAAAGTTAATACATTTCCTCTGAACTCAATGAGCAAACAAAAATATCACTAGTACTTCTGCCAGAATTTAAAACATTAGAAATAAACAACAAAAAGTTAATTAAGACTTTGATTTTAGAAAGTTAAGAATAGATTACGGGTCCAAATAAATTTGAAATCAGATTTTGGAATGCATTATACAGGTAGTTCTTACAGACTTACAACTGTTTAATGACAGTCCAGAATTATGATGGCCACGGAATTAAAATGTTCACTTTCCCAGGTGAAGGATTCTTTATGGTAGTCCTCAACGTACAACCACAATTGGGACCATAATCTTCATTATTGAGTGAAGGGGGGGGGGCATATGATTGCTTTAGTCAACAATGAGAATCTCAGCACTCTTGGTTATTGTAGTTAAGCAATCTCCCTGGTCATTAAGCAGAGGGAGTGAAAGAGTCACCTATTGAGTTAAGCTTCTGTGTGGATGCAGAAGGGAACTCTTCTGTGGATTGCAGGAACTTAAATCTGACCTTTACTTTTGTAGTCTGCTAGAGGAGTTCCCGTATTCTCCATGCTTGGAAGGGGAATCCTTCCATAGAGCTGCAGGAATGGAGCTCAGATTTTCAGGATCCAATTTCCATTTCTGTAGCCTGCTGGAAAAATTCCCCTCCACAAGCAACCCTTTTTTTTCTCAAAGGGCTGCCTTGCAGAACAGGGTGGGGAAAATTCAGTTCCACAGGGTTCCCTCCTGGCAAGCGGCCTTTTCATTCTCAAAGAGTTGCCAGTCAGAAGAGCATCTCAGCTTTATGACAGGCAGCAGCAGCAACATGCAAACTTCCTTGCTGATTTCATGGTTGACTTTCTGGGGAAGCTAGCAGAGAAGATTGTAAATGGTGATCATATGATTTCATGGCTCTTGGCAACCAGTTTTATGTATGAACAGGTTGCCAAGCACTCTGATCATGTCATGTGAACTTGGATGGTGATGCAATATTTTGTTAACGGCTGGAAGTGCTTTATATGGGCCATAAAACAACCTTTTTTTCCTAAGACATAATTGAAATAAGCAATTTTAAAAATTGAACTCTAGAGGGAACTAAAGTTTTTTAATTAAAGGAGAAGAATACATAAACCTAATTAACAGTTACAGAATTACACAAAACATTGTAACATTAGAAATACTGATGGACATTTTTGAAAAATGGAATCAGAAGTTAATATCAGCAATGTCAATAACGATCCTGGTTTTATAGACAAACTGTGTCCAAAGATGTTATGGAAAAAACAGAAAAGGAACAAGTTTTATCTGATAAGACAGAGACAGAACTGACACTAAAAGTGGATCTACTAATTACAGGCTAGAATGATATGGAAGGAGATGTCTCATTAGGCATGTAAAAGAAATCAGTTGATGCTTTAAAAGTCAAAAGAGAATTATAATAAGGTAAATTGGATTTACAAAAGAGGTCTGTTAAAGTTGGATGAAAATTGTGATTAAAGGATAAAAAAAGAAATGAAAATAAATCAAATTCTATGACATTACTTGAAAAGACTAAAGATTGAGATTGTTAGAAGTAAAAGGAAGGAATATAAAATTGGTTTATTTCAATAAGTGTCACAGGAACAACTCAGACAACTGAGGAATAACTTTCTGACAACTCTTAATAGATTTGATGATACCAAGACTGAAATTATATGCTTTATGGATTTGTTTAAAGGTAAGAAATGGGTCATCGAATGAAGACAAAATTGGAGGAGGTGAAAAGCTACCATAATTGTTAAAAATTGTTGCAATCAATGTTGGAAGTCACTTCTTTATATATATATTTTTCTTTACTACAATCTTATCTCTTTTGTCTACATTTTTGTCTTTGCACTTTTTTATTCTTACTACTTTTCTTTCTTTCTTTTAGTTTATGATGAACTCTGGAGTGAGTTTTCCAATATTTTCTAAATGTTTGGGCATTTTTAATTTTTGGCACTTGGAAGGAGACCTCATTATGTCTATATTTAGAATCCCAGGGGAACATTGTGAGAGAACACTTGTACTGTGGTGAATTATTTATGCAAACAAGAATACCTACTTGAGAAGCTCCAAAATGCCAATCACAATGTCATTCACATAACAAAACCCAGAAGCCTGGAGAATGAAAAATAAAGAAATTACTGTATGTTAGTTAAAAGGAGCCACTATGCCTTCCTAATAAATAAAGCAAACTTGATTATTACCTCAAACTTCTTGGCATGATGCAGTCCTCCAGCCCAATTAATTGCAATATCACAAATCTAAGAATAGAAGAGAAATATTAACTCTGAAAAAAGAATGATCACAAAATAAAATATCTAATAAAAGATCACTAAAATCAATACTTTAATTTATTTCACTAGTCTGTAGTATCCCCCTTTTAATAAACTGCATTAGAAACACTGAATCATAGGCCTGAAAGGGGTCTGGGGGGGGGAATCATCTAGTCTAACCTCTGCCCAAGGCAAAAGATCTTATACTACACCAGACAAATCAATGTTCAATCTTTTCTTGAAAATATCCAGTGATAGAGCACTCACTACTCTGGCAGGCAAGTTGTTCCACTGAATAGTTGTTCTTATAATTTTTTAGTTCTAGGCTGGATGGCTCTGTATCCAAGCTTCCACTGATTGCTTCTTGCCCTATTCTTAAGTGCTTTGGAGAATATCGTATCTCTTTTCTGTGAGTGCGCTTCATGCAATGGTGGGATTCAGCTGGATCGCACTGGTTCAGCAGAACCAATATCTATTTTTTTCTGCAAACTGGTTAGACGTGTTCTGGAAAATCTGTGCTTTCTGGAACATGTCTAGTTTTCGTTCAACTTCCTTCTAGGCGGGGGAAAAAAACCCTCCCCAAAAGTCCAAGAGAGGAGCGACGGAAACCTTCAATCACGTCACTCAGACGAAACCTGTCTCAGGTGGCATGGGCAGGGCCTGCAGATAAGGAAACACTCCAGGGCCAAAGCACCAGTGGAGCGCCAGAGGGTCCTGGAGGGTGCTGAAGCAAGCAGGAATCCTGGTTGCAGTGCCCATGCCGGCTCCCCCTTCGCAGCCAGAGCTGGAATGCCACCGCGTTTAAGTGCCAGTAGATGCTGGCCTTCCCTCCAGCAGGCCTGGGCAGCTGGTGGAGAGATGGGCCCATTTCAACGCCTGGTGCCCAGATGCCCTCACTTCCCCCAAGCATTTCTTTGCCTACCTGATTTCCAGGGTTCCACCACAAAAGCGCGCTCGACAAAAGCGCGCTGTGACGTCATCACAGCGTGACGAAAAAGTTCGAAAAATGTAAAAATAAAGCAAAAACC